AGATAATGATAGTAATAGAGGAGTCGACAAGGAGAGGTGCCATGCTTGACCTCGCACTCACCAACAGGGAAGGGCTCGTTGGAAATGTGACGCTCCAGGGCAGCCTTGGATGCAGCGATCATGAGATGCTTGAATTTGAGATCCTCAGGACAGTGAGCAGTGAGAAGAGCGTGCAGCAAGCTCACTGCCCTGGACTTCAAAAGAGCAGACTTTGGCCTCTTCAGGAACCTGCTTAGTAAGGTTCCATGGGATACAGCCCTAGAGGGCAGGGGGGCCCAAGACTCTTGGTTGATATTCAAGTATCACCTGCTACAAACTCAGGAATGTTGCATCCCAGCTAGAAGGAAGTGCAGCAGGAGGGCCAGGAGACCTCCTTGGATGGGTAAGGAGCTGCTGAGGAAAATTCAAAGGAAAAAAGGGGCTTATAATAAGTGGAAGCAAGGACAGGTGGCCTGGGAAGAGTACAGGGATGTTGTCCGGGAAGCTAGGGACCAGGTCAGGAAAGCTAAGGCCCAGCTAGAATTAAACTAGGCTAGGGGTATTAAGGATAACAGGAAGGGATTCTACAGGTACATAGCAAATAAAAAACAGACTAGGGAGAACATAGGCCCCCTCAGGAAGCTCTCGGTAGAACTGGCTACACGGGGTTTGGAGAAGGCTGAGGTTCTGAATGACTTCTTTGCCTCGGTCTTCATTGGCAAAGGCTCTGACCACACCACCCAAGTCTTGGAAGGCAGACGCAGGGACTGTGAGAATGAAGACCTTGCGCCCACTGTAGGAGAGGATCTGGTTCGAGACCATCTTAAGAGCCTGAACGTACACAAGTCCATGGGTCCTGATGAAATCCATCCGCGGGTCCTGAAGGAGCTGGTGAATGAAGTTGCTAAGCCGCTGGCCATCATATTTGAGAAATCATGGCAGTCAGGTGAAGTTCCCAATGACTGGAAAAATGGAAATATAACCCCCATTTTCAAGAATGGGAAAATGGATGACCTGGGGAATTAGAGACCAGTCAGTCTCACCTCTGTGCCTGGCAAAATCTTGGAGCAGATTCTCCTGGATGGCATGCTAAGGCACATGAAAATCAACAAGGTGCTTGGTGACAGCCAGCATGGCTTCACTAAGGGGAAATCCTGCCTGACCAATTTGGTGGCCTTCTATGATGAGGCTACAGAACTGATGGACAGGGGTAGAGCAGTTGACGTCATCTACCTGGACTTGTGTAAAGTGTTTGACACTGTCTCACACGACATCCTTGTCTCTAAACTGGAGAGGCATCAATTTGATGGATGGACCACTCGGTGGATAAAGAACTGGCTGGATGGCCGCACACAAAGAGTTGCGGTCAATGGCTCAATGTCCGGCTGGAGACCAGTAACAAGTGGTGTCCCTCAGGGATCGGTGTTGGGACCGGTCTTGTTCAACGTCTTTGTCGCTGACATGGACAGTGGGATTGAGTGTGCATTCAGCAAGTTTGCCGATGACACCAAGCTCTGTGGTTTGGTTGATACGCTGGAGGGAAGGAATGCCATCCAGAGGGACCTTGACACGCTTGTGAGGTGGGCTGATGCCAACCTCATGAAGTTTAACCATGCCAAGTGCAAGGTCCTACACCTGGGTTGGAGCAATCCCAGGCACAGCTACAGGTTGGGCAGAGAAGAGATTTAGAGCAGCCCTGAAGAGAAGGACTTGGGGGTATTGGTTGATGAGAAATGAACATGAGCCAGCTTCAGTGTGCGCTTGCAGCCCAGAAAGCCAACCGTATCCTGGGCTGCATCAAAAGGAGCATGACCAGCAGGTCAAAGGAGGTGATCCTGCCCCTCTACTCTGCTCTGCTCTCGTGAGACCTCACCTGGAGTATTGTGTGCAGTTCTGGTGTCCTCAACATAAAAAGGACATGGAACTGTTGGAACAAGTCCAGAGGAGGGCCACGAGGATGATCAGGGACTGGAGCCCCTCCTGTATGAAGATAGGCTGAGGAAGTTGGGGCTGTTCAGCCTGGAGAAGAGAAGGCTGCGTGGAGACCTCATAGCAGCCTTCCAGCATCTGAAGGGGGGCTATAGGGATGCTGGGGAGGGACTCTTCATTAGGGATTGTAGTGATAGGATAAGGGGTAATGGGTTCAAACTTAAACAGGGGAAGTTTAGATTGGATATAAGGAGGAAATTCTTTCCTGTTAGGGTGGTGAGGCACTGGAATGGGTTACCCAGGGAGGTTGTGAATGCTCCATCCCTGGCAGTGTTCAAGGCCAGGTTGGACGAGGCCTTGGGTGTTATGATTTAGCGTAAGGTGTCCTTGCCCATGGCAGGGGGGTTGGAACTAGATGATCTTAAGGTCCTTTCCAACCCTAACTATTCTGTGATTCTATGATTCTATGATTTAGAGAAGGTAGAACCCTTCACCATTAAGCAGAAATACTATGGTTACTTATACAGAGCATACTTCATATACCACCTTTGTCCTGACCCAAGGTTGATACTATCCTTTGGTCAGGATTCATAAACCAAACATAAAAACAGCTGGACTGGAACACTGCAAAGCAAAAGCCGAGTCTTTCAAAGCTACTGAAAATATAAACACAATAACATTTAATTCCAGTAGATAAAATTCATCTTTTTAAAATCTCAGCGGAAAAGATTACCTCTACCTCTTACCAGAATCTAAGCATCAATTAAGGTTTTGAGGTGTTTAAAAAATCATTCAGGGTTCAGTTAAAATTTTGTTGGGTCAGCTGTCATGGATGTGAGAGCCATCTCATCTTTTCTAGGAATGCAGAATGTAGATGTTTTTCTTTCAATCACTTTTGCTCAATAAAAACATTTTCCTGATGATTTATAGATACAAATAGCCGTTCCAAATAAGTAACTGATTTTAGTGATTTTTCATGTTAGGAAAGAACTGCAGCTTTCACACTTGAATGAGTATTCTATAGGAGTTTTTACAAGGGTTCTGTTAGCAACAAAATAACATTAATTGAAATAAACCTCCAGAAAAAAATTGTCAATTTCTAATTGTGTATGCTTAAACAACTACAATTATACATTTGGAGTAAATTTTGCAATTCAAATGATTTTGTACAGACCCCTAGCCTGTCTGGAATTACTGTAGCTATAATATAAAATTATAAAAATAGACATGAAGTAAGCAATGAGCTCAAATGATTGACTGTCTTTCTAAAAAGTAAAATTGGAAATACCTCTCCATTCAGTAAAAACCTAAAATAACTTGGGAAAGAGCATTTAAAGAAATCTTAAAAGCATGATCACAGAATAGAAGTGAAAGCAAATAATTGCTCAAAGATCCAATTTCATAGAATAGGTTGGAAGGGACCTTAAAGGTCATCTAGTTCCAAACCCCCTGCCATGGGCAAGGACACTTTCCAGTAAATCAGGTTGGTCAAAGCCCCATCCAGCCTGGCCTTGAACAGTTCCAGGGATGGGGCATCTACAGCTTCACTGGGCAATCTGTTCCAGTGCTTCACCATTCTCAGAGTAAGGAACTTCTTCCTAGTACCTAACATAATCTACCCCTCTTCTGACTTAAAGCCATTTCCCCTTTTCATTAAAAATTCATGCAAGAGGTGAAAATATTAGTTTAAAATAAATATATAACATGCAAAGTATAAAATGTATTTAGAAAATAGCAAAATATTTTAAAAACATGTGAATACATACCTTAAAATCTAATGTTTATAATTTAAAATAACCGTAACCTTTGAAAGGAGCCATGGTTCCAGTTCTCCTCAGTGCTAGGACCAGACAACTCTCACACTATATGATCACAGTATATATAGTTGTGCAGGTATGTAGTAACAAATGCTGCCTCTAGGGATCTAACTCTACCTTGTGTAGGTACAGGGCTACCCATTTAATTATTATTACTCCAGATTCATGAGAATAAAGCCCGTAGTTAACTGCAAATTTATTTATGCCTAGTGGCTTGCTCATAGGAACATTGTAAAAATGTTCAACACATCTGATAAAAACGTGGAAAATGGGAATGTGTGTGCATCTACTGCATGTTTTCCTCTAGGAAAAAAAGGCTCAACTTGGAACTTCTGTCTTTAAACAGCTAGAAGACATGACTCTCCTCTGATTGAACAGGAAGCTGATAAGCACAAGCCACTATTCTATAAGCTTTAATAATCACTTGGATTCCATTTTTACTTTCACATAGTTGCTACTGTCGTGCAGATTACAACTGCTGTAAAGTAACTCACTGTGTGACACTTTGCTTTTAAATTACTGGGAAATAGATGCTCCAAAATACGTATGTACAATCTAATTAGATAATGTCACACAATAATCTTCCACAGGGCTTAAAAATGCCTATGCTAAGCATCAGGTAAGTTCTCTGTGTGTATTTACTGTCTGCCTTTGTCAATATAATCCTTCCCTGTAAAGATGATTCCAAATTTGAGAGAGAAATTCCTAGTAGTGTAAACCAGGGAAAAAGTTTTTTCAGACATCTATCATAGCATCTGGGATGGCAGGACTGTGTAACCCTGGGGAGTCCCACCATTGCCAAGCCAATGTCCACATTTAAATCCCACAAAATGGGACAAATTGCTATAGCTGTAATAATCTTTAATGGAAAAGGATGCCGTAGTGAGAGTACATTAATACGTTAAGATAAGATATCACTGCATTCTTGGGAGCAGCTACCAAAACACGAAATGGTCAAGGAACTTGTATGCATCAAAATACTGCACAAATCACCCCAAATTTGGGGATGATACTTGCATATAAGCATATTGTCTATACAAAATAAATGAATAATTAAAATATGTAAAGAAAACAGACTAAGCTGTTTATTTTGCTATTTGAAACAACAGGCTTACATAGTGCAATGAAATATTTATTCACTGTGTTCTCCTTTTGCTGATCTATTTTTCTGAATTGATTACCTCTGAAAGCTTTCCTGACATGAGCTTTTGTATGCTGACAAAAGGGAGTGAAGAGAAGCATCTTGATTAGCTATCAGCTTCTAGTCAAGCTTACCAGACCACGAAGAACAGAGAGCATGTGGTCAGAAGACAGCATCTATCACAAGTCAGATTTTATGGGATGAGTAATCCACTCTCACATTTTCACAGAAAGCAGAAGAGCCAGCAGATAATACTTCCAGCTGAGCTTTTAAATTGGCTGGCTCAGTCCTTTTGAGAAATTGTAACAGAAAGAGCAGTTAGATTTGATTTTTGATAAAGCTGTAGTTGTCATAACAATGTGCTGCTTCATAATCAGTGAGTTTCAAACAAAAGCCATGGCTTGAGCCATACCTGGGTTCCTAAGGTCACCTTCCTTTAGCAAACTTTGATTATACTCAGCTGCAGCTATATCAGTGTATATTGTCTATTCAGGAGACACTGAAAAAATATACTTTTTAACAAAAACCCACAGAAAAAATTTTATTACTATAATATGACTAAACGTAAAAGGCAAGTAGTCTTACTAAACTGCTTCTGCATAGTATATTAACATCCTCCAAGGGAGTATAAAATGTCCTCATATATGAGGATATAGCCCTACTATTAAGTCCAACCTTCTAAAGCTTACAAATACCACTGCTTACGTTGTGCACAAAGATGTAAAAATATATCTATATATATCTACAACAGCCACAACTGTTAAGCTTCTATTTTAACTAGCGCTGACCAGGTGCTCTATCTGTGCAACCCTAGCTTGCTTTCCAGTTGAACCCACTTGATTTTCAGTAACAGTTCTGACAGGCTATCATAAGTAGTTGTGTGTTACATGCCAGTGAAATAAACAAGACCTCTTTATTTCCATTTAAAGTTATGCTCCGATTTGTTAAACTAAGCCCAGTGCACACAGAGTGGTTTATCCTATACATTACTGTAATTCAGTTAGAAATCTCTTAGAATTTCAAAAATTTATTTTTCTTTTTCTGCTTTTTAGGCAAAATGTAGTGAAAACAGTATTTTCTAGCAAATATCAAAAAACAGCACAGCCCAAACCTAGAAAGGTAAAGTGAAAAGGTGAGAGCATCAGTTTTACGCACCTTGTACTAACACTCCTCAGGTGTGATTAAAATTGAGATCTAGCAATCACTTGGTTCCTCCTAAATAAACTGTTGTTGCCTGAACATACGGCATCCTGTCATAAAATCCTTAAATAATTCTTATTTGATACAAAAGCAACCATCCTGTCTTATCTTTACCTGCTTACAGTTACCTATGTAATAATGTATGTTAAGTGATTCATCAAATATGGCTATGAATGCAGCGAAATGCCAGACTTGCACTGTTGCATGGTAGAGAATTAAGTTGTATTATATACCATAGAATTTGAATAATACACTATTAGTAATTTCTTCACAAGAAGGACCCCCCCCTCAAATGCCACGAAAGACTGATTAGTCCTTCTTCTTCAGCTGTGTTTCAACATGTCCCTTATATCTAGTCGTACAATATACATGCTGATTGTTAGTTTGATTGATTTGTTGATTTTTGATTTGTTGGTTTGGGGATTTTTTAACAGGAAAGGAAAAGCTTTTCTGTTTTATACACCCCCTTGACCACTTGCTTGGGAAGAAAACAATGTGAGGAGGCTTGAAGGACTCCAAACAGTTGCTATATCCTACAACCCAATGAAAAATAAGTATCGTTACTCCAGCTGTGTCCGCCTCTTCAGGTAATTACAAATAGTATTCACTGTGTCCTCTGTATTGCAGTATCCTGAAGACAAGGACCTTGAGAAGTATCTGACACCTGCTATCTTCCTGTTAAATTGTAAAAATGACTTGAGCGTGCTTTTGCCACCATCAGTCATCTCAGATCTGTACACTCAAGCACTACAAGCCTTGCAAATAACTTCACCTTTACTGTATAGTAAATCATTCTTATTAGCTCCTGCAATTTTTTAACAAAATAATTTATAAAACCCTTAACTTTCATTACACACAGGATAATTTGCAAAAATTCAAGCAGTTCATCAATTCTTACTAGTATAAGTAGCAGAAGTTTTGAAAGAATACTAAAGTTTCGTAATTCATAACAATTAAATACCAAGTAAAGAAGTAGCTTTTTTTTTATTTTTTGACTATTATATTTTTCACTATTAATTTCAAATTTATAGAGTTTTAGCTGAATGAATGGGTACTCACTGCTTGAAAGCTCTATTTGACAGCTTGTATCATGCAAAATATATCAAAATAATTTTCTTATCATAAGACAAAAACATGGATTTTCTGGTTTTTCTTTTCTGCATGATTAGGATAAATACAAAATTGACAGTTTAAGAGAGATGCAGCATAGGCTAAGGATTGAGTATGCCATCAGACTTGTCAAAGCATCAGTGGAAGGGTTATAAGAGTCACCTAAGCTCTTCTGCCAAACTGCCTAATTCTAATTCTAGTGCTCAGCTAAGTTGGAGTCTATTATTCAATTCATAATAATTTGGTTTCAAAGCTTCTCACTAAGGTGAAGAGAGGAAATGCACACTTGACCTGATGCTGTTGCAATTTATGATTGAAAAAAAAAAAAAGCACTTCAACAAACTATTTACAATATGTGTTTAATGTTTCCTATTTCTGCTTCGCTATTAGTCATTTTTAGCAATTAATTGCGAAAAATGGGAATAGATTATTTTAAATTACATCATTACTACTGGTAAAACAACCTAAAATTACTGGGGCACTCCTGTTGTCATCAATGCATCAGTTCCATTTGCATGTCTGTAATGCCACAAGCAGGAAGGACAGAAGTTTAAAGGTAAAAGAGTATAAGGAAGCCCAAAGGAAATACAGTGTTAAATTTCTGTCCATGCTTCTAGGAACATAAAGGATTGTAGTCTGAACAAAGTTATCTTGTTATCTCATTATGATCAGTCCCAAATATTCTATATAAGATACTGCACCCTTGCAACTCATTTAATTTTGAAACCATTAATTTCAATGACAATTTCTGATCTCCATGAAAAGCAACTTATTCTTAAAATGACTTTTTAATATAAATAATAATAATGATAATAAATAATCAGTGTGCAGTACAGACTTTTAGATGGGCTTCTTTCTGCGCACATTCTTAAAGCCACAAGTTATTTTCATCCTGTTTAGAGTGTTCAATATATTTCAGGAAGTACAAGGACACTACGGCTACCCAATATTTGCACTAACAGCAGCCTCCAAGAGAAAAAGCCAGGAGATGAGCCAATGATAGACTTTTTATTTTCTAGATGAGGTACAAACTCTGCAACTGCAGTTTCACAAGGACAGGGAAAGTGTCTCTCCTGAGTGGAGAGATAACTGTATCCTAGTTTTATAGTTACTACTCTGTCCCTCTCCTATAAAACAGGCAGTACCAAAACATCACAAGCATATTCAGTATGGTTATGGTAAAATATAACATAGGCAAGTAAATAACCCTCACACTTCTGTTTTAGTACTTGGGACTTAATCAGAAAGAATCTAGAGTGGGAGCAGAAATTTATATTGCTCTACCATGTAAACCATATTCCCAAAACAGTCTTTACACACCATCTTGTTTTATGTAATGACTTCATTTTCTGGAAGTATTTGTGCAAAACACAACACAAAGACCATACATAATTTCAAAATTAGGAAGTAATGTGTGTTTTGTCCATTTTGAAAACTGAACTCCAGGATGAAGAATCTGTTATTCAAATGCTTTATGTCTCTGCTTTTAGGAATGAGTTAGAGTAAAATGTCACATATAAAGCTCACAATGACATCTTCCTATACCAAAATTTAAATTAAGAAGGCCATGCTGCATTTTAATAAAACATCTTATAGATTTCAAGTACATTTTTTATGCTTCTCTAGGGAAAATGCAGCAAATTGTATTTTACAACCACTGAAGTTCTCTTGCTGATGCTTTAAGATATATTTTCTGGCTTTGTTTGAGTGCCACATTTTCAGATTTATCTGCCAATCTATATTCTCAGTAGTCACTCTTGATATGATTATTTTCTCTTTTCACCATATGTTCACTATTACTCGATTGTTAAAGGTACTTCAAAATGCCTTCTATAACTAAGCATCTAATCTGGAAGAAGTTTTGTGTTGATATGTTCCCTGATCATTTTCTCAGGCAAAGAACAGAATAAATCATATATTAGATTACTTTCTATGCTGTATACATATTATATGGCTCAGTTTAGCCTTAGATTTCATAACTTGCTTTGTACAGATAAAGCATTTGTATGTAGAAGGTTCATTAGATCAACTAATTTGTTTTCCTGTTAGGGAAGACCTTTAACACCATTGTCTGACTTTCAGTTGTGAACCATGTACTGGATATGACAAAACAGGATTAACAGACAAATACTTAATTGAAATCCCAAAATCCAGGATACACTTCATTGCATGAGACAAAATGACAGGTTATTCTTCTGTCCTAATTTTCTCCACTGTGGAATAGCAGAGATGTAAGAAATACATACTTAGCACAGAGCTAAAATAATTCTATAAACATAATAGTGAAAAAAGTCACACAACTTACTGGAATCATAATCTGAAGGTAAGGTAAATTTCCTGAACCTCCTCATTATTAGCATATTAAGATAAACAGAACTGCTCTCGGTAACTGCACAGCTTTTTTGACTAGAGTTAGCTCATGTAGAAAGTATGACCCGTGTTATACAAGGTATCATAGAAAATTACCATCATGGTCTCTTCTGAAAATCTGCGATTCTAAGAGTAGATCAGTGAAGATGCTCAAATGTGCAGCCATAAAAAACGCCTAAAACTTAAACACAAAACTTGCCTGCAAAATTCAATCAGTGCTAGCTATAAATGATGTATTCTGGTAAACCAAACATTTTAAAACTTGGAAAGGTAGAGTTAATATCCCGATTCCCCACCCTCCCTAAATATAACACTCTTAAAATAGAGCTAAATAAGTTCTTTGCATCCCAGTCTTTCTGTGATGTAAATGATTTTTTTATGTCATCATCCATAAATCCCTTCCCCGAATCCTCACTCAGCTGTGGCTCTGAGGGGACCAAGACTGGATATTTTGTCATTGCATATGCAGGATCTTGCTCTTTTGTGACAAAGAAATGTGTTCTTAGTTTCGGTGTTCTTGAAATGGTATCACTCAACACATCCCTACAAACATCACTGCTAAGACCAAAAAAAAAAAAATGGATTTTTCAGTATCATTATTCAATACTTTC